GCAGCAGAACACTAGAGAGCTTTTAATCTTAAAACAATACAGTTGGTGTTGAGTTAAAACCTTTTTATGTATATTTTTCATGACATATTCTTTCATATTCAACAGATACAGACATTTAAACTGTAGTGAAAGGTGTATATATTGCTGGTTTAATGTTTATATGACTGTATCAATTACTGTTGACTTTCTGTATCAATCATTATTAAAGCTGCACTGATAATTTTGTGTTTAACATGTTCAATGATGTGCCAGGTGTTTCTTATGTTATCATGTTTCTGTTTTTAAAGATTCATGATGCTGCAATATTTCTATTCCATTACTATTATATTTGTATCACTGCAGCTGTTGCATTCTGGTCTGTTGCCTTTCTAAGCACATAGCATTGTATCATCCCAAAACCATGTCAGCCAAACTTAAGTCGGGTGATTAATTTTATTCCCCACTTGGACTAAAACTCGCATGGTGGTGTTGTAAGCCAAAAATGCAATCACTGGACAGCATCTTTGTGACCATTCACCAATCCAGGAACTTTAACTCAAGCCCAGCCCACTCTGCACATTCAGACCAGACTGCTTGTATTGGAACCATTTTGTTGACAGGGCTTTCCTTCCAGTTTTTATAGTCCCTGGCCAACAAAAGAAAAAATGATGTGATATATTAATGCCTACCAAAAGTAGCTGCTTTGTAAAACTTGCCAGATAATGGACCACATTGAAATGACAATAATAGATGCAGACCTCCCGCGTCCAAACAATGCATAAAAGACTTGAGCAAAGTTTTGAGGCGACATAGTAATTTTAATTTCAATGGCCTTAACAGAAAACAGTAAATATTTAGAAAATCACTCACCCTTGTCCATAAAGCACAAAAACACATTGTTATCTGTGAAGCTGTGCACCGGCAGAGAGATTCAGTACACCTGTACAATCTAAAGCAGTCCAGTAATATGGTCATTTGTAGGCCCTATGTAGTGGTGGTTTTGTATTGGACTGCATTATGTTAAAATATCTTACTAATGTTTTGCCTCCATTCCCTTACATAAGGGATTTCACACAATTGAAATCCCGCCATCAGGTTAAAAGCAAGGGAACCATAGGTATAGATCTGACTGAAAATACCTTACTTGTGTTTCCTTTTGAATTTTAACTCTCTGCGCCAGTCAGTCAGCCTTGCCTCTATGAAAGGCCAGTCTGGATCTGCCTTTCAATCGATGTTGTGACAGATCTACCTGTTCACACACACTGTTATGCTGTCTGGCATGGTGCAAGAACATAATAAGTTTTTCTTCACCCCGTGTTTCTTTTCTGCAAGGTGTTGGGTTTGTTTGTCTCTCCCAGCCCAGTTCATAACACATGATGCTTGTATGCATACAGACAGACATCTACAAGACTAAACCTGTCCTCTATATAAAATGTAGAACATATTCTATATATATGTATTGCAAAACTGTGTTATTAGTTTGTCTAAAATGCTGCTTCCAGAGTTATCTATGTGGAGTAGCCTGTATGTGTATATTTGTGTTTTATAATATAAAAATTGGTGATTTACTTTGGCTACTAAAAATGGGTTAATTAAAAAATAACACAACTGAATCTAACTGAAAATGTAATTTTATAAACACAATAGCCCTTTTTCACAGCCGCCATTTAAACATAAAATAATAAGGTGAACACAGGTGTGACCAATGATATTACTTGAGGTTTGGTTCCATTTAGTGTAGCACAGCCTTTCCAGGGAGCCAACATGCACAATAGCAGCACCCTGACTCTGTTTGACCTGAATGGAACAGAACCTTAATTAGTATGATTGCTAACACCAGTGTTTATCATACCATTTCATGTCGTAATAGCTACTTTAAAAAAGGTCTGTTTGCAGCACAAATTCTCAGTAAGCTAGTTCAACTGTTAATTTTTGTTACTTACCCTGTTGCATAATCAGCAGCTAATTTGTCTTTTTCCCCTATGTTTCTCCTTGCTTTTGTTATGGGAAGCATTTTCTAAGCTTGGCTTGTCACCAAGAGGCCTTCATTTGGTTTTAATTGTATTGATCATTGTCAATGTCTACCAATGAAAAACAAACTAAAATCCAAGTGAAAATTAGTTAAAACTGATTTTACTTTTTTAAAAATCTATTACTTTTGAGTAAAAATTGGCAAACAGAAAAGAATTAGCCTGTATTCACCTGGGACTGCATGAGAAGATATAAGATGACATGACAAATGTCAGTCTTGAACTGAACTTGAACTGAACTGACAGGTGCTTCAAGCCACAGAAAACTTGACTGACAAATTTACAGCTTTATGGATATGAAGTACAGACCTCTGAGATATAATTTGTTGTCCTTCAGATAGTTAATATAGTCAGATTTAACTTAGAATACTGTGTTAACATAGAGTATATGTCTGTAGTCAGTAAAAGAGGGTGGATTGAAACTGAAGTAGTAATTTCTCACTGTCTGCTTTCTCTCTGTGTTGCTCTAATTGCTCTTGTGGCAATGCATAACACACACTCGGTCCCTGATACGTTTCAAATTTGCAAAAAAAAAAAAAACTATATTACATATAATTAACTGATGGTATTGCTGCAAGAATAACAGTGATTGCTTTAACAGACTCATCTCAATTTTGACTAAACACAGGCTGGTATTTCTCAGCCTCTTCCACTTGAATTGCAACACAGCTTGACAGCTCAGTAAAAACCTCAGAGCCCTTTGATCATGATATGCTTATTTCGGCATTGCTCCAATCCAAGAGGGGGTCCCGCTTTAGTTACAACTCGAGTAAGATAGAGCTGAAAAAGATGTTAGAGCAACTTCACGGGGTATTTCTCAGTCTCCCTCGATCTAACTTTCCTGTCCGCTCAGATCACAGATACATACTGTTAAGTAAAAGATACAGTAGATAAGGGACAGAGAGAAATCACGAGTACTGAGCAAGTTGCCATGTGTCTGAGTGAGAGAGCGGCACGCTGATAGAGGAGGGTCAGAGAAGAGTAAAGTTTTGATATCTAAAACTTTCAGAAGCAGATTTGTGTTCAGAAATGAAGCTTGGGTAAACATGTCCAGAAATCAGACCTTTAATTCCACATTAATCCTCTTTACTGCAGCCCTGTCCATGGCTGACACGGTTGCCCCATGGAAAAGCCTGCTACCGGTTTGGAACACTGACTTTGAAGTCTGATGTTTCTATCGGGGTCCTCGAGTAGTTATCACATGGTAGCTTTCCCTCGGCTCTTCATGGGATTAAAAACTCTTGTTTGTTACAGTATATTTCTTCTTGTACTTCCTATTTGGAAGATACAAGATGGTTTTCACCAGTATTGTAACCAGTCATTTTTGATCAGAACTCTTGTTGTGTTGATCCAATCAGAACAGCATTGTTCTTTAAGGAATTAGTAAGCCTCTACTTGGTGGATTTTTGCCACAATGAAAATCTCAGCTCAGCTTTATGTAGATTTTACATTCATGCATGTTAAGACTCATCGACATCATGGTGTGAATAATGATCTAAAACAACAAAAAGCAAAGCCTCTTGGATAAGTTATAAATGTCTTTAAATCCACAACATGTTATTTTGTGTGTACAAGTTAATGTGTTTGCTTATTGAGTCAAGAAATTTACAGAATATTTATTTTTTATACCCTCTGGGTTTTGTATGATAGAGATGGCTCACACTTAACAAAAAATATGAAATCAGTTTCTATGCTTCGTCTTTAGTCAGTATCAACATATTTTACTGCAGCCATGATTTTCTTAAAAATAATGTTTGTTCTCCAACAAAAGGAGGGAATTACTCAAAGCTTGAGCTTTTGCCCATTGTATCCAAAGCAACAACCAAAGGTAATCGTTTCAATTCAGAGACAAAGAAAGCAAAGAGATGTGTAAGCGTGTGTGCGTTTGATTAGAAGAGTTTCAAAGAGTGCTGCAGTAAGAGTTTGGTGACGCTTCAAAATGATGAATGATTTAATTTCATGTTTTGTTCTGCCCTTTGAACAGTTTTATTTTGTGAGTATTTATATTACCCTAAAAATAAATTGCAATACAGCAACGGCAGGAAAACATTGCACATTGCATCTAATTCTTTATGGTTTGCTTCCTACGGTACTTAGTCATATTGCTGTTTCACTTTGCCACAAGGTATAGACTGAGAAACCAGGGTGATGTACCAATATGTTGCTTCACTGCTTAGACCAGGTCAAGGGCTTTTCTTATTACCCAAATTTCCACAACAAGTAACGACCACACACCCCCTACGGTATGATATTGTAGGCTTGTGCAGGTGTGTGCGGAGTGCATTTATAGAGCCATATGTATGTTTGAGCAAGTTTGCCTTTCTATGACTCTGTATATCATCTGTTCTTGGTACTAAAGCACTAGAGCACTCGATGACTCATCAAACCTCATGCAACAGGGGAAAACCCACCCATCCACACACAAATACACACACACACACACACATCCATTGTGAATGCAGAAAAAAGTCTGGCCCTAGCGATTTTGGCTAGCCTCTCTTTAACAATGCGGCATGACTTGGCACATGCTGGGCTGCTGTTCCCCCTTTGACTGCTGGGATTGGTCTGCTTATTGTGAGCCCTCTGCTGCACATCACTTTTGATTTGTGTGTGCAGCGCAGGGTTCTTTTAAGTGGTTTCCTGTATAGTGAACACAGATACACACGCACACACACTCAAATCTCTGGGGACAGCAACACCTGCCTGCAGATTCATATCCTGTAAACCCCAGGAAACAGAAAGACAGGAGTGCTTGTTGTGTTTTGTCACGCTTTAGATCAGGAGCAAAGAACGAAACCTGCCTTGAAGCCCTTGGAACCAAGCCCGAAAAGATGTGCATGTGCAGGTGTTGAAAGTACAGGTTGTTTACCCACAATTCTGATTAAATGCTCCAGGAATAAAGTAATGTATAACATAGCACCTGCATTAAGTGTTATTCTGTGTATTGTCGCCCCTTTATCATCCATTCTGTCATTCTTTCTCCTCCTTCAGACATCCGGGGTTTGCAAACCTTTATGGACCAGGCGTCTCGGCTGGGTCTGGATGTTTCCTTGCAGAGGGTGGACCGCAATGTCAGTCGAGTCTTTTCTGACCTCTTCAACACGATGCGTACTGAGGAGCTCAACCGGTACCGGGACACTCTGCGGCGGGCTGTGCTGCTCATGAGCCCTCGAGGTGCACAGGTGTTCATCCACCAGGTGGGTTGCATATCTGCATGAAGGGATCAGCAACGTAAGCAGAGAAGCAGTGAAAGAGCAAGACAGAAAACAAGCATTTATTTAATGATGATTATTCAAGATGATCACCCATGAATGGAAGCATACATTCTTTGTACCCCAAATCTGACAGCTGATCAAACATTTCATTAGTAAGTGTATAGGATTAGGACTAGCAGTGAAGTTGCACATTGCAACAATTTGAATTCAGTTTAGCCTTCCCAAATCCTGTACGATAAACTAGGGTAGTTGTGAAACTTGCGAAAGGCCCTATCTAGACCCATTGTTTGACTTGTTTGTTCAGGGCTACTGGTTCAACAAGGTGGCCCCTATGAATATTATATTCCATTTCTGCCAACAGATGCTCCTAAATATCACACACTGGACCTTTAATAAAATAACTGAGTAATAGGAGATAATTTGCCTAGTTTTCATTGGGAAATATTCTGCATCAAATGTTACAAATATCTATAACAGAAACACTACATCCATTCAGCCTTTACTGTACTGCTAGTGAAGGGTGGTTTGTTTACTGTACAGATCAGCAGCACTGCATATAACCCCAGGCAAAGTTCAAACAAAGTCAAAGTCACATGTGTGTAGCCACAGAGGATTTGCATCATCCTTAGCTCATACTATCATAACTTGGAAGCTTTTACTAACCTTGCTCCTTCCATGTCATGTTTGCTAATTATAGCAGTTGGAATCAGGGGAACACGTAGGAGTTAATGCATCCAACTCTCCACTTCAGTGCACATATTTTCCTCTTTCATTGCACCTTGCTAAGTTCAGAGTTCATTCATTCAGCTGTCTTCTCCTCAAAACCATTTAAACAAGATGAACTGCTGTGTCATAATCAACCTAAAAACCAGTAAACTAAAAATAATTGGGATATGTTTGTCTATGTTCTCCTCACTCAGGGCAGCCAGAAGTGAAAGGTTTTCCTTTAATCATCTGCAGGGGTTTTACTCATGATAACCACTCGGTGAAATCATGTTGAATAATAATATACTGTAGTGCTTTGGCATGATTGAAGAACTGACTTGCGTGGCATTGGCAGTGTTGGAGATGGTAACATAAAAGTGCGCTGAGTAGCTTGTTCTGCCCAGCAAACACGTCGCAGCCTGACACTTAATCTTCTTTTTCATCTGGCAAGGACAGTGACACACTGATAAAACACTAGAGATTTTCCAACTCAAATGAAAAATTTGGACTGCAAATACAGGGCAGCAGACAAAAGGTTGTTAAAATATGGTTGTAGATAAAATTCACACACCCATTTAACAGTAACAAAGCTCTGCCAAGGAGGTTATGTTTTCTGTGCTGTTGGTTTGTCTGTCAGCAGGGTTATGGAAAAACTACTGGCCCGGTTTTCATAAAACTTGGTGGAAGGATGAAGCATGGGGCCAAGACAGAACCCATTCAATTTTGGAGTGGATCCAAAACATAGGGCGCATACACAAATTATTTTTTACTTTCGTGACATTGCGAGATAGGTCAAGACTACAGAGACTGTGAACCAACGAGTTTGGTTTTTAGAATTAACTAAGGATATCCTGATCCGATCTCAACAATCAGTATCAGTGCCGATCAAGGCAGTTTTTAACTGATCGGTATTGGCTACACTGAGCTTTATTGATCCGTTCTGATCTTTTTTTACGCCAGCTGTCACACAGCTGTTTTTAATCACAAAGCTTTTATGCACGGTGCAGCCATCGTCAGCTCTCTCTGTCTCTTTCCTCCACTCTAAACTCGGTGTCAGTGTGAGAGCAGAGGCAGCCAGAGACATCCGACACAACCACAGTCAACATGCCACTGCAAGTACCACAAACAAAAAGCCAATAAAGGTAATGAATTAATGTAATTTGCGCAAAAGATGTACAGACAACGGGAAAAAAACACTCAGCAGAAGGCTAAAAGTTAATTCAGGCAACTCAGGCAAAGGATGAACCATAGCACCAAACAGGGAAGAGAGAAACTCCCTCCAGACAGCAACAAGACCAAAAGATTACAGACTGTTGATGCAATACAGACAATTGCAATATGCAATACAATTTAATTGACAAACATATACACTGGATTGATTTTTATAACTTTAATGTACTTGAAATGTGCACTACGCACTGTATTATGTAAAGAATAAGTATCGGACAAGGACTTGGTATCGGCAGATACCCAATATTAAATTATTTGGATCAGGTGCTAAAAAAACTTGATCGGAACATCTCTTAGAATTAACATTAAAAAGCATTTGGCAACTATGATATGTCTGATGTGCATTTGAAAAACATGAGATCCACACATTTCTTATCATTTGAATCTGCATAAGGACCCTGGATTTCTAGAAAAAATACAAAAATTTAAAGATTTGGCTTCTGTTAAATGGCCATTTACAGTTAATAGACATTAGTATTCTGCTTTTAGCCTATACTTACCACATACCAATACCACATTCCTGAAGGTTTCTTGCTTACAAATTAATGACTGTAAAAACATAAAAACAAATATTGTATCAAGCCCAATGTTTCTGTTTTGGGTTTATTTCATTTTCTTGTTCACAGAACACTGACAATGTATTTTCTTTCTTTTCATGGTGGAGAACCTTTTCACATTTACTGTAAAGTCACCTGCAATGAAAAAGAAAGACTAAACTTAAGCTCTGAGTTATGACAATTCTGTAGGCCACTATAACTATACTTATCCATCTTCCTTAGTGAAGATGAGTTTGTGCTAGAGTATAGATATAGGGAACTAAAATGTTGCAATGATGTTGCATTGAATATGCATATAAATGTTATAATATAAATATATAAATGCTTTATAAAAGTAGTATTAAAATACGTCCCAGTGTGTTTCTTTATTGCATTTGGAGCTCACTTGCATTTAAAAATCACTGGAGTGAGAGAGAATGACATTACTGTGCCATATGTCCTATAGTCCTGTCTATAATGAACTTATTATCTTAAAACCTTGAAGATTCCACATGACATACTGTATACATGTGATTGCCTCTGTGTCTCAGAAAGGTTTTACTCTTGATAGACTTCTGTTTCGCTCTTTATATCTATTGTGCTGACTCATTCAATCTTTTTATATATTGTGAGCAAATACCATAGAAAAAAGTCTAAACTAACAATAGGTCAACACCTGACATGTATTCTAGTTAGTTTCATGTAAATGCTACAGTATTAATCTAAAAGTGAAGGACTTGTATTCAGATAAATCAGTTCACAGGTTGAAAGTATACCAAGGCTTTCAAGCTTCATTAATGACATACTCCTTTGATCTTTCCCTGTAGTCAATGAATTCTGTTTTAGTACACATAGACACACACACACATACACAAACTACTGTAGACATCTTTCATTCTCATATGTTTGCATTTAATCTCACAATTATATTCTTTATCATTCCTTATACAATTAACATAAGACATCTTGGGGACTAAGAAATAAGCACAGCCTCACATTCAGCAGAGTGCCCAAATGCTCCTGTGAATATGTTAATATATTAAAAGTGGTGGAGATTTGTTAATTCATCAAAGCTTCATTAATACCTTGGTAACTGTTGTCAGAGAGCGTACCAACTCCCCACCAGAGTTACTGGGGGGAGAAAATGTAAATATGCTAATATCTGAATGGAGAATGATGATGATGCCTTGGAGAGTTAAGTACTCATGAACTGGTTCAGCACAAGAGAAAAAAAGTAAAGTTGCCATGGTGATAGAAGTCGACAGAATGCTGGATCAAAAAATCATCACAGGCGACTTTTTTTTGTGAGGGTAATGTAAATGTTAAGAAATGTGGTCAAATAAAGAGGATTAGTGGTATTAGTGGTCGCAATGATTTGTGCATTGTGAGTGAAACTATATGAAATTGATCAGCTGTGCCAGGGTAACACTGTTTACCACAGAGACCCACTCTGTTTTCCACTCTTTTCTGTATTTGTCATCTGTGCATTTCAGAGTTTGTTCAGCTCTATTATTTTCTCTTCCTCTCTTCTGCTCTGCCCCACTCTGTGCTTATTCATTTACTTTACCTATAAACGAAAGCAAAGTCATCCAAGATGACCACAAAGAGATGCAAAATAATACAAGACACAAAAAAAATGCAGAGATGCAAAATTATCACAAAACAACAACACAAAGCAGCCATGAGGAGATGCAAAATGGCCACAAAGAGATGCCAAAAAACTACGCAGAGAAGCAAAGTGACTACAAAGACACAAAACGGTTATAAAAAGACACAGAATGACTACGAACAACTCTTCTTTGTCTGTCTATCTTGCTCCTGTGTTGGGAATGTGGGACGTTTTTTACATGTCTGTGCCCAGGGGCCCATTTCTCATAATCTGTCTATGCCTTCTTATTCCTCTACAAGGTCAGATGGGGATGAGGGAAAAATGTCCCAGTATGCATTGGGCAGATTAAAGAGAGGCACCTTTGTCAGGCCGACAGTTCATCAAAGGACTAATATAGCCAAACGATATTCATAATCATAATAATTCCAAGTTCTTAATGCACTTAACTAACAGTAAAAGGCATAAGTACTTTAGCAAAAATTATCCTAAGTCACATATTCTATTCTGATCATGCTCTACTTCCCTGAATAACATATTCTGTCACAAGTCAGTTGTCACTTCTACAGTCTACTCTCAGGCCACAGTCATTTCTCATACTTTGAACAAGATGCATATGTAATTGACAGTGTCTGCAGTTTTATGCTGAAATTCTGGGCTCTTGTTTTCTCCCGTCCAGACAGTTGCCATCTCGCCTCTCGTTCATTTTGGCCATGAGAGGATGTAGCGTCTTCTGTCAGCTTTAGTGTCGCCTCGTTCCTGACACCCAACTGCTCTCTTTTCCCTTCATGGCAGTTGAACTTCACTTGAGTCACGCGAGCCTTTTAGAGGGCCATAAAGTGGAATTTTAAGCTTTCAACTGTCTGATTCGTATGTCCTTGGGTTGTATTAGTGAGCATTTGCTA